AAAAAAAGACCAGATTTACTGGCCTAAAGGAGACTAGAGAAAGCCCTAGAGTATGGCTCCCAGACACCCTTTTAGCTCAGTGGTGAAGTCACTTCCGCAGTTCACCGTTCAGCCAGGGAGTGGACAGACACATAAAACCGAGTGAGACTGATGAGGCACAGCAGTCCAGGGACAAGGGCCGGAAGGCAGAGGGGGACAGGAAGCCTGGTGATAGGGAACCCAAGGTTGAGTAAGGATAGTGTTGATGTGTTGTGAGGTTGTTGGCCGTTGTCGTGGGGCAACATGTGTACTGGCTGTTTAATGAGAGACTGTTTTGTTCTGTGGACCTTCATCTAGAGTGACAGTGGCAGCACAATTGGAAGAGCGTGGTCGATGTCGCTGAACTGTGCATGTGGAGATTTTTGAGGTGGTGTGTCTTTGGCTATGTATATTTTCACCAAGGGAAAAGGAAGGAAAGTCGAGAGGGGAGAGGGTTGACATATCGTGGGGTTGTTGACCAATGTCATGGAACAGTATGTGTGCTGTTTCGTGAGAAACTTATTTGTTCTGCGGGCCTTCACCTGAAGTGCGATTAAAAAATACATATATATATCGGTTTACGTTGTTTAAATGTGTTTTTTCTGAAACATTCATAAAGTTAGAATGGAATATCTTTATTACCGCATTTTTATAACCTAAATCGATAAGCCAAAGGTCTCACCTTTCGGAGATGTTCCTCCAGGAACAGACACAGTCTCCACCCACGTGAACGGCGTCCGTAGTGTCTCCGCGCCTGCGCCGAGACCCGCCGGTCTATCCCCGAAGCCGGAACTACAAATCCCGGCGGTCCCGGCAGACGGTGGGCCCAGTGCGCCTGCGCAGTTACGTAGGCTCCGGATGTACGGTTCCCGCCAATTCTTGGTGTAATCGTGCTCTGGCCTAATTCCGTGCTCAATGGAGACGTTTGACCCAGCCGATCTGCCCGAGCTGCTTAAGCTTTATTACCGGAGGCTCTTTCCCTACGCCCAGTACTATCGCTGGCTCAACTATGGCGGAGGTGATGAGGCGGGGAGCGGGGTGGGTAGTGGGTTGGGAGGGGACTGTAAGAAGGTTCCGGGCGCGATGTTCTCGAAATGATAATATGTAGTACCTCTTGTGAGCCAGGCATTGTGCCGGGCGCCTCCGTGTATTATCGAGTCTTCCCCACCTCCTTTGAGGTGGAAGTGGGCCGAGAGAAGCTATAAAGACCAGCCTACGGCCACACAGTGAAAAGCACAGCCGCTGCTCCTCTTCCTAAGCGGTTGGGCTCACGTTAGGTGCGCAGTTTACCTGCCGCGGTGTCGTGGTCTGTATTGGGGGCAGATAAGGGTCTCTAGGAAAAGGAGAGAGAAATTTTCCTCTTCGCAGCTGATTTCATTTACTAATGCCCACCGAGGAGTGTGAGGTGGCGTTAGATTTTTGAAAGTATTTCTGCCTTTTCTTTTCCCCCTCATTTTACTTTTCCCTAACAGTTGCGGGATGATACCAAAAAAAAAAAAAACCGTTGCCATCGAGTCGATTCCGACTAATAGCGACCCTATAGGCAGAGTAGAACTGCCCCATAGGGTTTCCAAGGAGCGCCTGGTGGTTTTGAACTGCCAACTTTTTGGTTAGCAGCCATACCTCTTAACCAGTACGCCACCTGGGTTTCCTGCGGGATTATACACCCCTTCAAATGAGGGACTAGCTCTTGGTCCTTTTTTTTTTTTTTTTTTTCCTTCTCATTTCTCAAATGTCATAATGCCCTGAGCTGAATAAAGTATCAAATTAGCTTTAAAACGTAAATTTATTTTGCAGTGATCAAGAATTACTTTCAACACCGTGAATTTTCATTCACATTGAAAGATGATATTTACATTCGTTACCAATCCTTCAACAACCAGAGTGATCTGGAAAAGGAGATGCAGAAAATGAATCCATACAAGATTGATATAGGTGCAGTATATTCCCACAGAGTAAGAAATCCTTTTTTAATGTATTTATTGTTTTATTTTCAAACCAAGAATGAGTTGGTGCCCCTAGCCTTTGATACAAATTTTTAGAGTTTATTCATTTTGAGGACCCATAATGTTTACTTAGCTGCTTTTGCAAGTAGATTGTAATCTTTTTTGTTCTTTGACATTCTACATTACTGACTGGAAATCATTTGGGAGTGAATTGTTTACATTCTCACTGTTGTTATGAGATGCTGCGAGTGGGTTCCAACTCAGCGACCCTATGTACAACAGAACAAACACTGCCCCATCCTGCGCCATCCTCACAATCACTGTTATGCTTGACCCATTGTTGCAGCCACTGTACCAGTCCATCTCGTTGAGGGTCTTCCTCTTTTTCGCTGACCCTCTACTTTACCAAGCATAATGTCCTTCTCCAGGGACTGATCCTTCCTGATGTGTCCAAAGTATGTGAGACGGGTAGTCTCACCATCCTTGATTCTAAGGAGCATTCTGGTTGTACTTCCTCCAAGACAGATTTGTTCATTCTTTTGGCAGACCATGGTATATTCAATATTCTTCACCAACACCACAACTGAAAGGTGTCAATTCTTCTTCGATCTTCCTTGTTCATCGTCCAGGTTTCACATGCATGTGAGGCAATTGAAAACACCATGGCTCAGGTCAGGCACACTTTAGTCTTCAAGGTGTCATCTTTGGTTTTCAACACTTTAAAGAGGTCTTTTGCAGCAGATTTGCCCAATGCAATACATCATTTGATTTCTTGACTGCTGCTTCCATGGGTGTT